CAAGGGTTCTGAATTTGAGTCCTGGCCTTGCCACTAATTAGCCAAATCAGCCATTTAACCCTGGTGAGTTTCTTGTTAAAATTAAGTGCTCTGAAGGTGAAGAAGTTTAGATGAAAGAGTTACATATAGGTACATGCTAATATTAGTATTCATTTTTTCAATTTTCTTTTTCCAGTACTGGTTGTGGATTGGTATGACCTCTCCAGCTACTTGCATCTTTTCATTAGACCGTTGGTAAAAGCAACAGATTAAACACACGTGTTGTGGTCACTGGTTAGAAGCCTCATCAACATTGGTATATGTGTTGGGGGCAGAATCTGAAAGCCATGAGCAAAGTGACCCTGTGTTTGATAATGTGGTTTCAAAATGATACACTGAAAGTGTCTAGCGAGGCTTGGATTAGAATATGTCTCCATTTCTCCTGCCTCCTTCCTCAGCTGGTCCTTCCTGGTGGTGTTTAGACATCCCAAGTCAGTCTCCAGCAGCTTTCCTCTTGTATAGTTATAGGGACAGGGGACCCTCAGCAAGCCAGACCCTGTCTCAGGCCAACTGGGGACAGGGAACAACCTTACAGAGCAGACCCAGAAAGTAGCATTAACCCAAGAACAAAGTAGATGTCATTTGTGATTTAACATGTGGTACCACAGGAACAAAAGCATTTTTACTGTCGCTGAAGCTTTGTTTCCCCAGGCCAGAAGCACTAACTAAGGGAAAACCAGTAGAAATGAATTTACCAGCTTTCAGTTCTGTTCTCATAGAGGGTGCGCTGGAGCGTGCTGCTCCAGGTTCCTACCTCCCCTCAGTGTACAGAGCAGCTAGCGGACATCCCTCTTCCCTGCATGCTAATCAGCCGAGCTCCACAGATGTCCTGCAGACATTATTTCCATCCTTAATCCAATAGGGTTTTTCTGAGTGTTTCTAGAATTGCATCAGGTACTTAGAGACCATGAAAACAGCATGGAAGTCAGAAACAGGTCAGGGTTTAATGGATTGATTGATTAAATGAGTATTTGTTGAGTGCCTTCTATATGTCAGATACAGTTCTGGTCAGTGTGCTGAAAATACAGCAGTGAACAAGGGTTGAACCCAGCCCTCCGGGAGCTTATATTCTGGTGGGGAGTTGGGGGGCGGGGTGGTAGAGAAACAAGTACACAGATAAATATGTAACATAAATCCAGGTAGTGATAAGTTACTAAAACTAATAATAATAATAGCTTCTTTCTACCATGTGAGGATAGAGGCTGAGGACGGGGGCCAGGTTTCATCAATCTAAGAAAAAAGATGTGAATGAAGCAGGGAGCATTGGGGAGAGGAAGGGAGAAAAAGTAAATTTGTCTAATCCACTTTAAATAAAAGAATGTATTGTCAGTGTATAGAACCTACATCGAACTAAAAAACTTGTGCACAATGAAAGAAATGAGGGACAAAATGAAAAGACAACATACGGAATAGAAAAAATATTTGCAAATCATATACCTGATAAAAAAAGGTTGACATCCAAAATATATAAAGAATTCATATACCTCAATAGCAAAAATATATAGTAATAATAATGATAATCCAGTTAAACATGGACAAAGAAACTGAATAGGCAGTTTTCCAAAGAAGATACACAAATGGCCAACATGTACATGAAAAGGTGCTCAATATCACTTATCATCAGGGAAATGCAAATTAAAACCACAATGAAATATCACCCTATGCCTGTTAGAATCGCTATTATCAAAAAGACAAGAGATAACAAATGCTGGTGAGGGTGTGGAGAAAAGGCAACCCTTGTACACTGTTGGTGAGAATGTACATTGGTGCAGCCGTTATGGATAACAGTATGGAGGGTCCTCAAAAAGTTAAAAATAGAACTACCATATGTTCCAGCAATTCCACTTCTGGGTATTTATCTGCAAGAAATGAAATCACTAACTTGAAGAGGTATCTGCCTCCCACGTTCACTGCAGCATCATTTACAATAGTGAAGACACGGAAACAACCTTAAGTGTCTATTGACAGATGAATGGATAAAGAAAATGTGACATGTATATATATATTATATATATTATATAAATATTATTCAGCCATAAAAAAAAGAAGGAAATTCTGACATTTGCAAAAACATGGATAGACATGGAAAGCATTATGCTGAGTGAAACAAGTCAGAGAAAGCCAAATACTGTACGATCTCACTTATATGTGGGATCTAAAAAAACCAAACTCATAGAGACAGAGAATACGTTGATGGTTGCCAGAGGCGAGGGTGGAGAAATTGGGTGAAGATAGTCAAAAGGTGCAAAGCCCCAGTTATAAGATAAATAAGTACTAGGGATGTAATGTACAACATGGTGACTATAGCTAACACTGCCGTATGGTGTACTTAAAAGTTGCTAAGAGAGTAGATCCTAAAAGTTCTCATCGCAAGGAAAAAAACTCTTTCCTTTTTCTTGGTAACTATATGAGATGATGGCTGTTAACTAAACTTGTTGTGGTAATCATTTCACAATATATTTACATATATGTAAGTCAAGTCATTATGCTGTACACTTTAACCTTATGCAGTGCTATGTCAGTTATATTTCAGTAAAACTGAAAAAAAAAAGCAGAGAAAGAGGTTAGAGAGTGCCTATTTTAAATGAGGTTGTCAGGGTAGGTATCTCTGAGTGACATTTGAATTGAGACCTGGATGAGATGAGGGAGTGGCCTTTGGGCCTGTTCTGAGCAGGGCAAACAGAGCCCACTAAGATGGGGGTGAGATTGGTGTGTTTGTGGAATAGCAGTGTGGCCATCGTGACTGAGCAGAGAGTGTGAGGAAAAGAGCACGAGGAGACAGGCTTGTACCCCAACTCCTACCACTAAGAAGCCACAGAAATTTTCTCAATTTACTTAATCTCTAGGAACCACAGATTCCTTGCACTTAGTAAGGTTTTTTGGTCACAAGTAATAGTACCCAACCTTGAGCTGGGCTAACTAAAAAAGAGAATTTATAATAAGTATACAAGAATGTCTCCCAGAAAGCAAGGCCAGGAAAGAATCTGGGCTTCTGCAAAGAAGTAGAACCAAGACCTGGGAATAACAAAACACCACCACCACCTACAAAACAAAACTCTTAGTTACTCTGTTGCTCACCTTTATTTCTCTCTTCATGCCGGCTATCTTCTCTCTGCACGGCCCAGCTTACCTGCTGGTCCTCCACAGGGACCTCCCACAGCCCCTGCATTCACTCCTTTAGCCCAAAAGCCAGCCGTCCTATGTGCGGTGTTGCTCCTGTCCCACACCAGCACTGACACAGGGCTCAGCACTGCTCCAGAAACAGCCTGCTCTCTGAAAACGTGAGACGCTCACCCCATGTCACTGAGGAGGTCATAGGAAGGCCAGAGAAGGGGTTACCCTGCACACTGCCCGGCATGTTTTTCAGATCCCCGCTCTGCTCCCAAAACTTCCCCGCAGCCCACTAATCAAGGGTTCTTCTCTTCCGCCTCACCCCAAACCCATTATCTAGTTTGCTCTGGAGTCTCCCCTTCCCCAACCCATCCCAGCCCTAACAGAATCCTCCGTCTCTCAGCCTTTTTCTAAGCAGGGGCATTAACTTTCTCACAGTTTCCACAGCTGATTGTGAATTTTCTTTTATTTTTAATTAATTAATTAATTTATTTATTTTTGGTTGCGTTAGGTCTTTGTTGCTGCACGCGGGCTTTCTCTAGTTGTGGCAAGTGGGGGCTACTCTTCATTGTGGGGCACAGGCTTCTCACTGTGGTGGCTTCTCTTGTTGCAGAGCATGGGCTCTAGGCCCGCAGGCTTCAGTAGTTGTGGCTTGCAGGCTCAGTAGTTGTGGCACGTGGGCTCAGTAGTTGTGGCTCGCAGGCTCTAGAGCACAGGCTCAGTAGTCATGGCGCACAGGTTTAGTTGCTCTGCAGCATGTGAGATCTTCCTGGACCAGGACTGGAACCCATGTCCCCTGTACTGGCAGGCGATTCCTAACCACTGTGCCACGAGGGGAGCCCTGAATGTGAATTTTCATACCACTCATCCCAAAGATTCTCCAGACACTAGGATCCACTCTCAGAGTGCATGAATTGTTTGACCAGTTACAGCTCCAGCCACCACTCTCTCTGAGTCCTGATTCCAAACTTCTGCGAGAGAATATCTGATTGGCCTGCCTCATGCCATATACTCACACCTCTGGCCCAATCAGTGGCAGCCAGAGAAGAAGTTACCTTTGTGGATGGGGGAATTCGATGGGACAATTCCTAGAGAACGCAGTGCTCCTTAGGAGAGGGACGGATATGCCAAAAGTGCCTATTACATTCCTCACGTGTGAAATGGAGACAATAATACATCCCTTTCAGGGTATTGTGCTAGCTAAACAACATAACATGCCCCTAAACAAAAGGGGCATCCCACAGTAGCTTGTGCTCAGTAAATGTGACTTTCTTCCTCTTCTCAAGAAACAAACCAACAAACTGCAAAAAACTTCTCTCTTGATTTTCCAAAATAATCCCAGCTTCACTATGCCTCCCAGTTCTAGATCGTTAGATATAAATTGTCCACCTTAAAAATATAGTTACAGTAGGTATATTTAACAAATATAAAACTTTTTTAAGGGCTTCCCTGGTGGTGCAGTGGTTGAGAATCTGCCTGCTAATGCAGGGGACACGGGTTCGAACCCTGGTCGAACATGTGGATCCCACATGTTCGGCATGAGGATCCCACGTGCCGCGGAGCAACTAGGCCCATGAGCCACAACTACTGAGCCTGCGCGTCTGGAGCCTGTGCTCCACAACAAGAGAGGCTGCGATAGTGAGAGGCCCACGCATCGCGATGAAGAGTGGCCCCCACTTGCCACAACTAGAGAAAGCCCTCGCACAGAAAAGAAGACCCAACACAGCAAAAGTAAATTAATTAATAAAGTCCTACCCCCAGCATCTTCTTTAAAAAAAACAAAAAAAACTTTATTAAGCAAAAATATTTAGATCTTGTTCCATCCCTCATGTCTTCCTCCCTCCTGCTAGGTCACGTTTGGTGTTGTCTGATGGGATCATTCCCTTCCACCTCTGCCTCTACTCCAGGGTCCTGAACTATGGATTACAGGTAATCTGTTGGGAAGAACAAAGAAGCAAGGATGGGAACTGGGCTTTTAAAAGGGAGAGACTAGAGTGAGCTATAGGGAGAGAGGTTTTCGGGCAGATTTTTGAGAAGGGTATGGGATGCAGAGGACTAGGGAAAGAGCATTGGAGAAATGTTAACATAGGCTATGTGTCGGATCCTCTCTAATGATATTTGAGAGATGCCAGCAAGATTCTAGTTACTCAGATTCTAATTACTCTCAACTGCTAGAATCATTCTGCAATTCCCTGATGAGACAGAGCCAGGTGGGTGCCTGGGTTTTATTTTGTCTACATATAGATAAAAGAAACCTTTTCTCCAGGAAGTTACCATATTTGAGGGATGCAAGGCTTAAATACTTAAACTAAGGAGGCATGAAATGATTGCATCATAAGACAGTATACGGAAATGTATGGAACTGAGTGTAATCGAAGATTTAAGCTATATCTAGGGTAATAGAGGCAATTATGAGTCACAAAATATCCAACCTACTGCCGTTTCCTGGGCATGAAGGATATTTACAAAAATTTAAGAAGAGTCCTTTGACATTTAGACAAATAATCCATTCTGTGTGTGAAAAGCACGTTTCCTCAAGGGAGTTTCTAAATAATAATATTGCTTTTCCACTGTGCAAACAGGAGTCTTTATTGATAAAGTGTTCAGTATAAGAATGCCTTCCAGTTCAGCAATGCACCCTTTCACGAACCATCTTTGATGAAAAATTAAACAGAGACTAAAGAATTCCTGCTTCATAGCTCACAAGCAGACAGAAACATATTCAGGAAACGTGAATCAATTTGAAATGTGCATCTAAACTCCTTTAAAATAATATGCACTTTTCAAAATTTTGATTATAAAAGTAATGCGTACTATGGAACACTACGTAGAAAAGAATTAGGTGGGTCTAGACATATTGTCATGCTAACGTATTTATTATTTGGTGTTTTGATATTTTAAAAAAGCACTTTACAGAGCAGTATGTTAAAGAGATCCAGGGTGACAAAGACAAAAACCTAGGAGGCCTAGGGAGGCCAAGCAGGTGACAAAAATTTTAAGGGCCAGGCAGGTGTATGGCAATAGGTACCAACCTCTTTATGTTGTAGAAGAGCACGACTTGTGTAACTATGCAATGTTTTAAATCATTGTGTGGGTCAAACAAGACACTGAACTGGGAGTATACAGCTACCCTAAGTCTGTTTGTAAGCAATAATTTAAAAAAAACTCTGTATATGTGTATTTCCTTACAAATGTATGCATGTTTGTAAATGCAGAATAAAATACCTGGAAAGTTACATATATTTATAAACTTTTATTGGTGCTTATCTTTGAGAAACCAAACTTGGGGAAGGCGGATTGGTGAGAGAATATGTTAAAGGATAGTTTTTATGTTTCTCTGATTTCTGTATTGTTTGACTTTTACAATGGGGATGTGGTCACATATTAATGAGTAATTATGCTTTATAAAAATTAAAAAGTAATTCATAAGATTGCAAAAAATTTGGAACAGAATAAATAGATAACAAAAATCACCCGTAATCTCAGATATAACTATTGATCATTGTCTTAGTCTGCTTGGACTGCTATAGCAAAATAGCATAGACTTGTTACTGAACCAGGTTCGTTTGCCCAATGCACAGCAAGCCAAATGCTGAGATGCCGAGTTTCCAGCCCAGAAAGAGTTTATTCACAAGGCAGCCAAGTGAGGAGACAGGAGAACAAGTCTCAGATCCGCCTCCCTGAAGGCAGGGGATTGGGATATTTTAGGGATAAGCAGGTGGTCTTAGGCTGGGGAAAGGTGATTGGAGGCAGGTTAAAAGGTGAGGTAATTGATGTTCTGTGCACGTGCATCTGGGTTACATGTTTCTGCATATTCAAAATGGAGGCGCTTAGCATGATCTGTGAGTGGAGTTTTCCGGCCCTCTGACATCAAAAGGCCATTCACTGGACATCTGCACAGGCCCAGGTTTAGGGTCGGTGGTCCCAACCAACCCCCAGCCAGCCTGCAGTGGGCAGGAGCAGACTCCAAATTCCTGTAAAACCCCTGGGCTGTGTGAAGCTGGGAAGGTATGCAATTAAAGAGAGGAAAAGAAAGAAAGAAAGAAAAAAAAAAACTAAAGCGAACTTCATCAATAATGAGGCAGTTTATAAGCAAAGGGGCTTTAACAAGCTGTTCTTTATCTGTTATTCTGTAAGACAAGTTCAAGAATTTCTATTAGTTATCAGCTTCTGTTAACTCTGTGGGGCATGGTTTCAGATTGGGTTGCTTCAACACCAAACATTTATTTTACACAGTCCTGGAGGCTAGAAAATCCTAGATCAGTGTGCCAGCATGGTCCAGTTCTGGTGAGGTGTCCTTCGTGGCTTGTCTATGGCCACCTTCTTACTGTATCCTCACACGGTAGAGAGAGAGCTCTCATATCTCTTCCTCTTCTTTTTTTTAAAAAATTAATTAATTAATTAATTAATTTTTTGGCTGTGCTGGGTCTTTGTTTCCGTGAGAGGGCTTTCTCTCGTTGCGGCGAGCGGGAGCCACTCTTCCTCGCGGTGCACGGGCCTCTCACTGTTGCAGCCTCTCTTGTTGCGGAGCACAGGCTCCAGACGCGCAGGCTTAGTAGTTGTGGCTCATGGGCCCAGTTGCTCTGTGGCATGTGGGATCTTCCCAGACCAGGGCTCGAACCAGTGTCCCCTGCATTGGCAGGCAGATTCTCAACCACTGCACCACCAGGGAAGCCCTCTTCCTCTTCTTCTAAGGGCACTAATCTCATGATGAGAGTCGTCCCCCCCATTCCCACTATGACCTATTCTGAACCTAATTACCTCCCAAAGACCATCTCCAAATACCATCAAACTGGGGTTTAGGACTTTGATATGAATTGTAGTGGGAAGGGAGGGTAAAAGGGGAGTGGGCACAAACATTCAGCCCATACAGTCATATTTCCTTTTTTCTAAACATATTTTAAATAGTTGGGATTTTATTATATGTACATAGTTTTACACATAGTTTTGTGTACTGTCATAATTTTCCTTGTCATTTTTTGGAGTGACTCATTACCTTAAGATAGATTCGTGGGCTTCCCTGGTGGTGCAGTGGTTGAGAGTCCGCCTGCCGATGCGGGGGACACGGGTTTGTGCCCCGGTCCAGGAAGATCCCACATGCCGCAGAGCGGCTGGGCCCGTGAGCCATGGCCGCTGAGCCTGCGCGTCTGGAGCCTGTGCTCCACAAAGGGAGAGGCCACAGCAGTGAGAGGCCCGCATACCGCAAAAAAAAAAAAGGTAGATTCGTGTAGGTGGAATTAATAGATCAAAGAGCATGGACTTTTAAATATTTTTATGCATATTGCTAATTTGCTTTCCAGGAAGGTTGGTTGGATCAATTTGCAGTTCTGCCAACAGTATATGAAAGCATCTGTTTTACTGTACTCTTGCCAACACTGAGAATTACCAATTTAGAAATCATTTAAAAATGTCATCTGATTATTATTTTTAAGCTTTTTGTTGAAGGATAAAGACATAGGAAAGTATCTGATTATCCCAAAGCAAACACACCTGAGTCGGCATTCATATCAAGAAAGAGAACAAATTCGCCATCCTCAGGATCCCCCTCATGCTCCTTCCAGTCATTATTACCACAAGAATAACTGCCATTCTGACTTCTAAGACCAATAAACTAGCCCTGTTCGATTTTCTCATTTCGGTGTAGTGTTCCATTTTATAAATACAGTATATCACATTGTACTTGTTCATTGTGCTGTTAATGGACATTTGGTTAGTTTTCAGTTGTAGATTATAAGCATTTCTGTACATTTCTTTTGGTGACAATGTTTATGCATTTTTGTTGGCATGCACCTTAGAAGTGGAATTGCTGGGCGGTAGGCTATGGCCGTATTCAGCTTCAATACTGCCAGACAGTAATTTCCAAAATGGTTATATCAATTTAGATACCTACCAGGAGTGTCTAAGAGTTTCAGTTTCTCCAAATTTGGGTTAACACTTGATAATGTCTGTCTTTTTCCCTTTAGCAAGTTGGCTGGGCTGTGTATTGATATATCATTGCTGATGCCATTTGCATTTCTTGGTGATTAATGAGCTTGAACAATTTTTCAGATGTTTACTGGCCATTTGGAGATATCCTCTTTTGTAAGTAAACTGTTCAAGTATTTCGCCCATTTTCAAATTAAGTTGTCTGTCTCTTATTGAATTGTATAAGAAATTTTTATATTCTAGATCTTAATCTTTTGTCAGTTATCAAATTTCTTCTTCTGCTCTTTGGGTTGCCTTCTTACTCTTTAGCTGTGTTTTGATGAGCAAAAGATACATTTTTAACAGACTTCAGTTTATCCATTATTTCCCTTTATGGTTAATGCTTATTGTGTCCTTTTAAAGAAAATTTGTCTACACCAAGGTCCTGAACATAATCTTCTCTTGTGAAATTTGCATTCTGTAATGCTCAGTGAGATTGAATTTTCTTCTATTTAAGAAACATTTCTTTTGGTGCTTGCAACTTAATTGCCAGTCTTTATCTTTTACACATTGTTTTATAAACATATTGGTGTTTTTCTTATTGATTTCTATAAAGTATTTATATATTAAGAAAAAATTTGCATTTTTGGTTCTAGATATTTTCATAACTTTGTTAGCCTTGTAATTACTTTTAATAGATTTTAAGATGGTAGAATCATATTTTCTTTTGTAATTTTTCCCATTTATTTTAAGTGTAAAAAGTCTTTTTAATCTGTTAGGAAATATATACCTTCTAATTTTTGTGGTGCTCTGTTGTTATTTTGTTTTGTTTTGTTTTTCTACATTTAGCCCTTTGATTCACATGGGGATAATATTGTGAGGTGAGAATCTAAATAGATTTATTTCCCCCTGATACCTAAGTCAATTTTCCTTTTATTAACTGAATGATTCTTCTCTTTCTAGTTGACTTATAATGCTTCCTTTTAATAAGTTGAGTTAGTTTATATACTTTAATTTGCTTTTCTAGTTACTCTGAGCCATTTATTTGCATGTCAGTTCTAGCGCTGTGATATTCATTTTAAGTGTGTGTGTATGTGTGTCTGTGTGTGTGTATGCTTGGTTTGGTTTGGTTTGGTTTAGTTTGGTTTGGTTAGAAATGCTTCCCCTCATTTTTCATCTTTTTCAAACATTATTTTGACTATACTTGTCTGTTTACTCTGGATAAATTTACTTCTGGATAAATTTTAGAATCTTTTTCTTTCTTTCTTTCTTTTTGAATTCCAAAGAAGTCCTTTGAGATTCTAGATTAGAATACTTTAAAGCTGCAAGTTAGGAGCTTCCCTAACCTGTGTCCCCTGCATTGGCAGGCGGATTCTTAACCACTGTGGCGCAGTGGTTAAGAATCCGCCTGCCAATGCAGGGGACATAGGTTCGAGCCCTGATTGGGGAAGATCCCACGTGCCGCGGAGCAACTAAGCCCATGCGTTACAACTACTGAGCCTGCACTCTAGAGCCTGTGCGCCTAGAGCCCATGCCCTGCAACAAGAGAAACCACCGCAATGAGAAGCCTGCGCACAGCAACAAAGGGTAGCCCTTGCTCGCTGCAACTAGAGAAAGCCCGTGCAGCAATGAAGACCCAATGCAGCCAAAAATTAATAAATAAAAAAGAAAAAAAAACTTCATTAAAAAAAAAAGAGTTCTTCACAAGTTAACTTGTAGTTTTTTTTTTTTTTTATAAATTTGTTTATTTTATTTATTTTTATTTTTGGCTGTGTTGGGTCTTTGTTGCTGTGCACGGGGTTTCTCTAGTTGAGGCGCTCGGGGGCTACTCTTCGTTGTGGTGGGCGGGCTTCTCATTGTGGTGGCTTCTCTTGTTGTGGCACACAGGCTTAGTTGCTCCTCTGCATGTGGGTTCTTCCCCGACCAGGGCTCGAACCCATATCCCCTGCATTGGCAGGCAGATTCTTAACCACTGCGCCACCAGGGAAGTCCCAAGAACTCTTTCTTTTTCCTTCAATGTTTAGTCTTTGATACCAGAATGTATTTTTATACCTCTTTATGATTTATTCAAAGCTTACTCTACCTGAAGATACATACATATTATATATAATATATGTTATATACAGTTATATACTATAGTTATATATTATATATAGTTACATATATAGTTATATATTATATTTATCTCTATATCTTATATCTTATCTATATACTATACCTATATAAAATAGACTCCACTATAATGAAAATTTGGATATTATTTGATTGATGAGTGGCTGCTGACCCATCCTATTGTCAGATGCCAGCAAACTGATAGTTTACATGAAGGAGAGGACTCAGGACGGGGAGCTGGCCACACCAGAAAGACCAACGCTATGATTAGAGGGCTGGGACTTTGTGCCCTGACAGCCCTGATTTCAAGCCCATCTTTGCTTCTTACTGGGCAAGCTTGGGCTTGTTTACTGATGATAAATTTCCTTATCTTCAAAATGGGAGTCATGACAGAAATGGCAGGGTCCTAGCAGGAAACCAATGACACACTTAAAATGGATACTTTGAAAAGAGTTTAGTAAAATTTAATAAAGGGACAATTTACAAAGCTGTGGACAAATTATAAGGAAGTCACAGCGATAGTGCATTGTCTCAAGGCCAGAAACAGTGTCATTTCCACCCCCAGACCTGAAGACAAGAGGGACAGGGTCGGTTGCCAGAACTTAGAAGTGAGTAACGTCAAAGGGCAAACCCAACAGGAGCAGCACCTTTTGTGGACCCTGATGTGACTGTGCAGGTGGGAAGCTGGGGGAACAAGTAACCTGGGCTTACGCACCTCCTCCCTCTCACCTTCTGCAGGGGCTTCCCCGTTGATGAACCCAACTTGAATCCCGAGGGCAAGAGACTCCTTTTAAAGAGGTCCAGTGGTTCTGGGATTTGGGCCTGCATCAGAATCACCTGCAGGTCTTGTTGAAATACAGAGCTCTGATTCAGTGGTGGTGGAGGGGGCTTGAATTTTGCAGTTCAAACACTTTCCCAGGTGATGCTGATCCAGCTGGTCTGGGGACCACACGTGGAGAGGCACTGATGTAGTCCTGGGTACAAAGGAAGGTGGAGAATGGTGGGCAGTGGCTCTGAAAAGGCAAGCGGAAGATATCTGGCCCAGTTTTCTTAGTTGTTAGAGGATTCGATGGATGTATGTTTAAGTGCTTGTCATGCTGGAGGTTATCAGTAAATGTCCCCTTTCCTTGACTTCAGGCCTCAGCGTGCTCTTTGACTCCTCTTGACCATTATGGCTTCTACCAACTGCTCTGTTCAGATCTTCAAGACCTGCAAGAGGGCTCCCCAGAATCCTAACTCTGAACTTGGTCTCACCATCTGTTTTCTGCAGCTTCTCTCAAGCTCAGAGGACTCCTGTGCCAGCCTCAAGTCACCCAGGTTCCGACCCTGGGACATCTTCTTCCCTGCAAAGGTGTCGCTTTGAGCCTGAGGTGCTGACACTCTCTTTCGTTCTTGAGCTTTTATTTATTTATTTATTTTTCAGGATTTATGACCCAAATACTTTAGTTTTTCTTTTAAAAAAAGTAACTCTCAATATGGATGTTTTCTTTTTCTTTTTCCTTTTTTTAATTCCAAATGGCTAAACAAATACCAACTATATGACTTCTTTGGGGAGGTACAAAAAATTTTTGCATTTCAATGGAAAACATGCATTGTCTACAGCATACCCTTTCAAGTTATCAGATTCTGGCCCTATTCATTGTCTTTGAGTTGTTTTGCCATGCTTTCTAAATTGTAGGTAACTGATATGTAAATTTCATCTTGTCAGGTGGTGATTTTAATTGACTTCCTTCCCTCTGTGGAAAAACTAGTTTTGTCTCTGCAATTATGTGAGATAATAAATGTTTCTTATTGTATAAATTGGGTTTTTCATTACTTGCAGGGAAGACCCTCCTGACTGACAGATCCCTTATAAATTGGGGTTAGTAATACTTCCTGCCTGCCCCACAGGATTGCCCTGTGAAAGCACTTTAAAAGGTGTTTGAGGATACATGTTCTAAAGGATGACGCAGAGTATATGGGAGGTATGATGCATAGGCCCTTAGCTGGCTGGAGGCTTTATAGCCTCTTCTTTGAGTCGAAGAATTAGAAAGGAAATTAGTTCACATACACTTCCTCTAGGCTTTAACACAGCTGCAGTTTTTGCTTTTGATACTGTTACCGAACCATGTCAGCCTGACACACAGCAAGCCAAACCCTGAGACACCAAAGTTTCCAGCCCAGAAGGAGTTTATTCACAAGGCAGCCAAGTGAGGAGACAGGAGAACAAGTCTCAGATCCGCCTCCCTGAAGGCAGGGGATTGGGATATTTTAGGGATAAGCAGGTGGTCTTAGGCTGGGGAAAGGTGATTGGAGGCAGGTTAAAAGGTGAGGTAATTGATGTTCTGTGCACGTGCATCTGGGTTACATGCTTCTGCATATTCAAAATGGAGGCGCTTAGCATGATCTGTGAGTGGAGTTTTCCGGCCCTCTGACATCAAAAGGCCATTCACTGGACATCTGCACAGCCCAGGTTCAGGGTCGGTGGTCCCAACCAGCCCCCAGCCAGCCTGCAGTGGGCAGGAGCAGACTCCAAATTCCTATAAAACCCCTGGGCTGCGTAAAGCTGGGAAGGGATGCAATTAAAGAGAGGAAAAAAAGAAAAAAAAACCCCAAACCTTAATCAATGAAGATATTTTTACAAGCAAAAGGGTTTTAATAATCTGTTCCCTTATCAGTTGTTCTGTAAGACAAATTCAAGCATTTCTATTAGTTATCAGCTTCTGTTAACTATGGGGCATGGTTTCAATGCTAAACTGCAAAACACAGTGCTACACAGGTATTTGCAGTAAACTGGAAAGTGGCTATTGGAATTTAGGGAAAATGGTCAAGTAGAAAGGCCTTTAATGAATGCAATTTTTAAAACACAGTGATCAATACTACAAGGTTTAATTAACTGTTGTTGAATTTGTAAAGAAAAAACAATGTTACCTGCCATTCCAGTTCTACAAGGATCAAGCCATCAGCCACTGCAGTTGCCCACGGACAGTGCACTCTGAGGGAAATTCAGGATGGAGAAAAACAGCAAACTTTCTGTGCTTTGGATATACCGCCCCTTAGGTATTTAAGATGAATATCTATGGAAGAATTTCAAGTGACCCCAGATTGTTGCATCTTCCCATACATAGAAAAGCACTAAAATCATTAACTTGAGCTATCTCTCTTCTTTGTGATTAGCAATACTCTTTTGACACTTGACTACATGTTTTTCCCCAACAAAAAGGTTCATATATCTCCTGGCTCCTCCCTTTACCTCTTGGAGTTCCTCTGAGCTATCTGAGAGGCTGTCTCTCAGGCTATAGTCCTCAATAAAGTCCCCAAATAAAACTTAACTCATAACTTTTACATTGTGTGATTTTCCTCGTCAACACATTTCATTACAAGCATGTCATTTGTCATTACCAGTATATTATTTGTCCCAGTCCTGTAGGTGGCTGAGTTTCTAGCTCATTGTAGTACTGAGGTCTGATTTCCAGCACTTCTGTCATCTCTAAGGGGTGTTAGTCTGCGCAAACTCTTAGCACATAAACAAGTGCTCCTTATAAATCCTCTTTGATGATTACAGTTACTATAGAACTCCTCTTCACTGACCCCTCCCTCCAGAAAAATTACAAGCCCTTGAAAATTAGAGTCTAAATTTTTTTGTTTGTCTAAGCATGTTCTGAATACTGGGTTTGTGTTAGGCTTTATTAACACTTGGTCTTCAGGCTATAAAACCTTTCACCTCAAGCGTCCTCACTCTTCTAGCAGCTTCGATTGAATGGACAGAGAGGAGGAGACATCTTCCTAAAAAACAATCGTCTTCAAGGTTTGAAATCTTGTGACCAAAGTCAGGGTTATAAAAGTCAGAAGGGGCAAGGTTTCTGTGAGCTCATCTTTGCTCTGGGTTAGAATTTAATGGGGTTTTTTTTGTTTGTTTTTTTGCTTTTGTTTTTGTTTTGCCATGCCACGAGGTGTGGTTTTTTTTGTTGTTGTTTTTGGGTTTTTTTTTGCGGTACGCGGGCCTCTCACTGTCGTGGCCTCTCCCGTCGCGGAGCACAGGTTCCGGATGCGCAGGCTCAGCGGCCATGGCTCACGGGCCCAGCCACTCTGCGGCATGTGGGATCTTCCCGGACCAGGGCACGAACCCGTGTCCCCTGCATCGGCAGGCGGACTCTCAACCACTGCGCCACCGGGGAAGCCCTCACGAGCTGTGTTTTATTTTCATTTATCATACAAATAACTTTCTATAGTATTCCAGGGCAAACCAGAGAATTTGGCAGTCCCATTGGAGGGTCCCCTCAGAGACCTATGGGCTGGTGGCATCAGCAAGGAGTGCCTGGGTTCACAGTGCAGCTTGTCGCTCATGTCCATCTTGCAGGTGGCTCTTCCTCCACATCACAGCTCGGGTCTCCAAGATGATGGGAGCGGAGGATCCTCCAGGTTCTTAGAAAATTTCACTCCGCTTGCTTCTCCTGCTCAGCGATCTCTTTGGTCAGCAGGGTGTTCTTCTCCTGTGCCTCCGTCTTCTTCAGCTTGGCCTTATTGAAGCTGGTGATTTCCCCCATGTCCTGCTTACCTGCCATTTTCTTAAAACAATCCGAGAAGTTCTGCTCCAGGCCCACAGCCCCAGTGCTCCTACTCACGTTGCTGCAGCAAGAGACTAGAATTGTGAAATCATTTTAAAAAGCTGTTGCAGACTTCTTATATCTTCATTCCTGAGCACAAACAAGCTCTAACCAACCAACCAACAGGTCTATGGATCTATTGTGTTTTAGTTTTTGGGTTTTTTTAGACCTATTTTTAAAAGGTAAATACGTATTCACTCTTACACTGGTTTGGACAATATAGACATGTTTGCTATTGATAAGAGGTTCTCATTTCCTCTTCTGTTGTGTATTTTAAAGCCATCTGTTGTTCTCAATGCTGATTCCACATGAGAATCAGTAACATAATCAAAATATAATGACTCTGGGGCTTCCCTGGTGGCGCAGTGGTTGAGAGTCTGCCTGCCGATGCACGGGACACGGGTTCGTGCCCCGGTCTGGGAAGATCCCACATGCCGTGGAGCGGCTGGGCCCGTGAGCCATGGCCACTGAGCCTGTGCGTCTGGAGCCTGTGCTCCGCAATGGGAGAGGCCGCAACAGTGAGAGGCCCGCGTACCCACCCCCCCAAAAAAATAATAATAAATATATATATGTATATAATGACTCTAAAATTATTAATAATATATTTCTTTTTCTTCATACTAAGTCTTTGAAATCCAGCATGTATTTTATACATAAAGCACATCTCAACTCAGACTAGCCACATTTTAAGTGTTCAATAGCTCCGTGTGTCTAGTGTGACCATATCAGACAGCACAGATCTAGACCTAAGACTTCAAATGATTTTAAGAAAATGAAGACATAGGTGAGCAGTAAAAGCATGCAGAGTCTCATCTTGTCCTCAGGGTTGGGTAGGCAGCAAAATACAGATCCTGACTAAAATGTCAACTAGGCAAGGCAAATACCATGCATAAGTTCTAAACACTGGAGAAAAGAAAGTAGAACCAATCAAATAAAAGGCGGGAAGTGAAAAGAAAATTAAAGAAAATAAACAAGAAATCATTGCTGATAGTTTAAAAGATTACAGTTGGTCCAAACTTTGAAATACTGTGCTAAAATTAAAAAGAATAAGGTAGGCAGTGTCTGATGGCCTCCCCGCAGTGATCTCTGCTTACTAGTGTTAATGCCCCTGTGTAATGCCTTCTCCTTGAGTTTGGCTGGATTTACGGACTCTCTCCTAATGAACAGAATACAACAGAATTGATGACATGTCACTTCCGAGATTAGGTTATGAAAAGGACTCGGTTTCTGTCTTGTGCACACTCTCGCTCATTCTCTCTTAGATCACTCATCCTTGGGAAAGCCGACTGCCGTGTCCTGAGGCAACCTTGCTGAGAGGTCCATGTGGCAAAGGACTGAGGCCTGCCAAAAACCACATGAATGAACTTAAAAGAAGATTCCCACCTCACTCCAGGTCAGGCATTCAGATGAGATCACAGCCTCAGCCAATAGCTTGACGCAGCCTCATGAGAGACTTTGAGCCAGAGTTGCCTAGGTAAGTTGCATCTGAAACTCATCCACAGAAACTGTGAGATAATAAATGTTTGTTGCTTTAAGTTGGGGGATAATACGTTATGCAGCAATAGATAATGAACACAGTAGCTATATATTAACATTAAGTACAAAAAACCCCAGTTACTGTTTAGTACATGTAGAATGAACCTGTATGTAAAAAAATGCAAAAATTAAAATGTGTGAGAGGTAGACAGAATAAGATTTATTAATATATGATTATTCCTGTCTTTCTTTTCTCCTTTATTCTCCTTACATACACTAAAGTGAGTCTTTTCCTTCCTTACCCTTCTCTTAGATGCTAAATCAGAAGAGTATAAAGAGATCTGCCTGAAAGTAGGAAGGATTTAGTGAAAAATCAAGCTAGTGTACAAAATAAAGAACTGGAGGTTAAAGAGAAAAGAAAGGAGAAAAATATGCACAAATTGGGGTTTGACAAAGTATAGTATGGGTTTGAACTGGGGCACTTTTAGTGTTTTCAAGAGATGGGTACAAGGATTAGAAATGCTTCTTCATTAATATTTTGTGGATGAACTACTTTCTTTGAATCTAATATTATTCAGAGACTGGGCTATGTGGAAAATAGAATTTAGTAGGGTTATGTATGTATATAGGTAAATGTTGGTACATAAAACCTTATAATGAAGCAGTGAAAGGCTTTCATTTTTCATTATTTGTTCTTCTGTATTTGAAATTTTAATAGCAAGCTATATTGATAAAAATCTGAAGAAGTTATTTCACTAAAACATCTGTGCGATGTTGCCAGTGCAAGACACATGTGACAAATTCTTAGCAACAGCTATGACACAGGTAGGAAATGGGTGCTGGTGGCCCCAGTGGTGACATGAGACAGAGAAAGAGAGAAGAAAAGGTCGCACCATGGGTAACTGAGAAGCTTTGCAATGAATACATTCAGAACATCCCAGAATTCGTTAGGAGGAACTTTGAGAGGTGTCGAAGATGAAGCAATTGTGGATTGTGGGAGAGTCAGAGAAATCCTGTTTTTCGACTGACTTGTGACCCAGTTTTAACCCTGGGATTGTGAAACCTGGGGGAATGAGTATGAAACCTCCATAAAATTATTGACAACTGTAATCATCCCCTAAACAATATTATGCAAAAGACTCTCAGAAAGTCCGGTCAGCTACTGGGTGCGGAGAAATGGGAATGCTCAAATACTGCTTGTGAGCAGTTACACAGGCAAAAACAACAAGTTTGTAGAGGGTAGTGTAGCTTTCAAAATACCTGAAGGAAAATAATTCTCTTTCTAAACGCCCACTCTCCCATTCCCCAAACGTCTCAGTCACCCTTTGCCTGTGAAACATATGCAAACCCCCAGGAGCACTTAGTTTACTATGGTGCAGTAACTATTGCTGAGTACCTTCCTCGAGTTTAGCACTGTGCCAAGGGATTCAAGCATCTTACAGGATATATCCCCACCCATCAGTTCTTAAACTCTGGTCAAGGAGAGAAATCATACCCAGCAAACAGTGAGTGACAGCGTTGGGTGTACTGAGACTATCTCCTCACTGTCAAAATATAAGACTGCGTGGTACAGGAAAACAGATAATGACTAGGCACCACATCATATAACATCAACTCGATGAGGATATTTGGGCATTTATAAACTTTTCCACTATAAAGATTACTATGGGGGTGGGGGGAGAAAGATTTAGGGACTTGCTTAAAATCAAACAGTGACCTCCCTCCTCCTTCCTTCTCTTCCTTTCTTCCTCCCTCTATCCATCTATTCATTTAATCAATATTTATTTAGTGCTTACTATGTGTCAAGCTCTGTACTAGGTCCTGGGGATAAAAAGGTTAGCAAAAACTCTGGCCCTCAAATATCTTGGAGTGTGTAGGGGAGATAGATCAAATAATTATACAAAAATATGTAATTATAATTTTGATAATGTTATAAAGGTTAACAATATAGTGCTGTGAGACTATGTAACTTGACCATGGGATTCAAGTCTAGATTGACCCCAAATTCCCTGCTGCTCTTACTAACCACTCTTTGCCTTTTGCAAAGTAGCCAAACTACCATCCTAAAGATTGTATTGCTAATTCTGCTTCTGGAATTTCCTTTTCTTTGCTGAAGCTGCCATGGTAGTTCACTGTACTTGCATCACAGTTGTCACTGCTGGTGTGTAGCAGAACCATTTCAGGCTTGAGGTTCAGAGAGCCCCAGTTCCAAATGCTCATTTTGTCACTTTCTATCTCTGTGACATTGGGCAAGTCATTAGATCTCTCTGAGCCTCAGTTTTCCCAACCGTAAAATGGGAATAATGGTATATGTCAAGCACATGGGACTTAATATCCATGCAATAATTGACTATTATTATTATTAACAACTGAGAATGTTACTGCCTGTAAATCTGGACCCAGGGAAACTGGTCAGTTTGTCCAGAGTTAGAGCCGTACCTGATGCCTAAATTAGAATTTTATACCTTATGTTCATGAAATCTTTCTCAAGATTAGAAATAAGCGCTGTAGGGACTTCCCTGGTGGTCCAGTGGTTAAGACTCTGTGCTTCCATTGTAGCGGGCACGGGTTTGATCCCTGGTCTGGGAACTAAGATCTTGCATGCCGCACAGCGTGGCCAAAAAAAAAGAAAAGAAAGAAGCATTGTATGTTTGAAGACAGAAAAGCAATGGAACTATATGTCCACACAAAAAAAGTTGGGACCTTCAGTGTTTATATTAATGGAGCTGTCATTTTCTGTTAAAGAAACACATTTGAGTAAGAAGCTTCCAGCCAGAGCACTTTAGTTATATGTTTTGGCAACAGTAAGGGTATGGTGTTGGGACTCTATGATTCTGGAGAGCAGAATCAGGGTTTTGTTCCTGGAAAAGTAATGTTAGATTGTTTATCCATTTACATCCAGTAAGACTATTATCCGCTGATTGCAATTACAACCCCCTGGAGATATTTGGACATCACATCCGTTCTATTACATTCTTGGCTCCTCCTTGCTACCCCCTTTTTTTTTTTTTTGGCACCTCATCTTTATCCAGATGAGCAAATTGTTGCCAATCAGTGTACATTATTCTGATCAGTTCTTAGGAAGGAGGCTATGGGAGTACAAGAGACCCATCCAATGAATGGCTGAGCGAGCCCTACACCCCCCAAACTGGAGGTTTGGAAGCCCCTTGATGTAAAGGATCGTATTGGGACTAGATCCTAATCCTGCTCAGCCACTCATTAGGTGGAAAACTTGAGCTGGTCACCAACTTCTCTGAACTTCAATTTCTATATCTTGGGCACATAGTAAGCACTTCTTTATTTATTTATTTTTTTTGCGGTACGCGGGCCTCTCACTGTTGTGGCCTCTCCCATCGCGGAGCACAGGCTCCAGACACGCAGGCTCAGCAGCCATGGCCCACGGGCCCAGCCGCTCCGCAGCACGTGGGATCCTCCCGGACCGGGGCACGAACCCGTGTCCCCTGCATCGGCACGTGGACTCTCAACCACTGCACCACCAGGGAAGCCCAGTAAGCACTTCTTAAGTGTTTTAGATATTAATTCTGTGCCATAGGTTTTATTCTCCCCATTTTTCATATGGGAAGACTGAGTGCTGTTCAGAGGGGTTAAGCTCAATGGTGTGTGTTTAGTTGATGATGCAACTAACGTTTAAACCAGGTTTTCTCAACCTCAGCACTACTGATGCTGTGGACCAAATAACTCTCTGTTGTGGTGGCTGTCTGTGCATTGAAGGATGTTTAGCAGCATCCCTGGGCTCTGCTCAGTAGATGCCAGTAGCACTCTCCCAATCCTAGCTGTGACAACCACAGTGTCTCTGGACATCATCCAGCGTCCTCAGGGAACAAAAAATGGTGTCTTGCACCAGGTGGAGAAGCACTGATTTAAACCCAGGGTCTTTCTGGCTCTAAAGCCTACAGTCATTCCACGACATAACATCACTCATAAATACCATTTGATTCCTCATTTTAAAAAGGAATTTAAACGTTTTTGTTTAAAAAAACAATAATCACATATTATTTCCAGAGGTTGATTAAAGTGAAATCAGTATATCTTGTTATGTTTCCCTCTTTTGCTTTTTTTTTTTTTTTGTCTTTTAATCTATTAGTAGTTACCGCTTGACTTCTACGGACTCCCCCATCAGGTGCCCACTGATTTCATTGTTCCCCTTCCTCCATCATAATCCTCTTTGTACCTTCAGATGGCTTAAAGCTTTAGCTATTTAAAAGTTTGTTGGTTGATGTTGTTTAGGTTTGTCTTTTGGTTTTAAAACAGAGCTCAATATTTTGGGTTAAAAGCATGGGTGCCCTATCAGCAGTTCTCAATGCTGGCTGTCCATTCAAATCCTCAGCAGTTTTTATAAATGAAAACTTCTGTGGGTTCTGATTCAGTTGGGAAGGGGAAAATGGGAGTTTTAAAAACTACTCAGCTGATTCTAACAGGCTAAAATGCTGAGAAAATCTAAAAAGGCAGCAGAGTTTATTTGCTGCATTAGTAGCTCCTCTCAATCAGAATCACCAGAATTTGTTTAAACAAACAAAAAAACAAAAAATATTTCTCAGAAGCAGAGATTAATTCATTCAGTAATTCTGGGGTTGGGCCCCAAACTCTTCCTTTTAACAAGTGACTAAGGTGATTCTGATGGTGTGGTCCACAGACCAACTTGGAGAAACACTGTCAAGAGTTAGTTTGTTTGAGTCATACTCGGTTCTGCTTCATGCAAGCCAAGTAACGAGGAAGAAGAAGTGAAACTTCTGAACCCCAGTATCCTAATCTGAAAAGTGAGGATGAAACAGAGCCCACCTTGCAGAGTTTCTTTGAGATCCAAGGAGACATTGCACAGGTGCAGAGCCTTGGGATGTGTTGGTGGTCATCTATATTATTAATGGGTTTAGAACCTTAGACAATTTGATTATTATTCTTACTAAGGTTTGTTTTGGTTTGGTTGGTTGGTTGTTTTTTAAAGTTAAAGCTAACAGTATAAACTATAGATCACTTTTGGGTGGAGGGAGGGGTCCTTTGGAAAACACATATAGCGAAGTTGGTAGAGTTCTCGGGGGTGTCTGCCAGCCCACTTTGCACGCTGTGTCCACATCTGCCTCCCCTACTAGAGGGTAAGCTCCTGCACAGCACTTCTTCACCCACACTGCACCTAATCCTCTTCTCTGCCTTGTCAGTGCTCTGGGCACCTTGTTGAATTGAACGACTGGTTCTATTAGTTTGCTAGAGCTATTATAACAAATTACCACGAACAGAATGACTTAAATAACAAAAATTTATGGTTTCACGATTCTGGAGGCTAGACATCCAAGATCACTCTGTTGGCAGGGTTGATTCCTGCTGAGAGCTGTGAGGAAGAGTCTGTTTCATGTCTGTCTCCTCACTTCTGGTGGTTTGCTGGCAATCTCTACTGTTCCTTGCCTTGTAGAAGCATCACCCCGATTTGTGCCTTAATCTTTTTGTTCCTTTTTTATAAAATATATACCTTATGTATAAGGTATATGTATGCCTTATGCTCCCACAGTATAATGTGCTAAAAACTGGTTCTGTCAATGCTTGGAATAAAGTCAGTCTGTTGTCACTAAAGTTGAGCAATTTTCCTCTAGAACATTCCAGAAATTTTAAACATCTGATAAAAAATGACTGTTAGAATGAACTGTGACCTTTAGTTGCACTGATAGTTTCCACTTAAACTAAGCAGGAGCTGTGTCTGATTGAGGAAGCCTAATGATGTTGCAACTTGATTGTAATAAATAATAATTTTTGATTGAAAAGTTAAAAATGTCAACAAAGACACGCAGAAGTGACTCTCTGCTCCTAATTCCCAAAATAATTTCTCCCTTCTCTGAACACACTTTTGGTACCTCTCTTAGGACATTTTCTGTTTTTTAGCTTGTATTGTAGTTATTTATATCCATGTCTGGTCTGCCCAATATATGAAACTGTAAAAAGGTTGAGGGCAGGGACACGCACTGATTCAACTTTGGATCTCTTAAAATGCTGGCTCTCAATGATCCCTTATATAAAGGAGGAGTCTCTCTCTATTTAATGAAGGAATTGGTGAATTCATGTGCATTCCTCAGTCATGAGGACGAACACTTTTGAGAGAATGCTTACAAGGTGTTCCTATGCAACTAAATACTTTGATCCATTTTCCAGATAAAAGCAAAGGAGAACAAAAATGAATTAAGAGTATACAGGATGGCGGTTTACATCACCGCTTCAGACAAGTGTTTGCTCCACAAGTGGTAGCAGTGGCAAAAGGGAACACTTTAAGAGGGTAGGAGACCCAACCTCTAATCACTCATAGGCTGTATGATTATAGTCAAGATACTGGAACTCTCTCCCCTTCCTTCATAAAAGGCATTGATGAGGTGATAATTCCTTCTCATCACATTTGTCTTATAGTCACCATTCAAGAAGATTGATGCTCTAATCTTATGACGATTTAAGATCCTATTCTTAAAATGGCTTGAAGTTTATGTAGCTTCGGCATGGTGATTCAGCATCACCTGAATCACCTGCTGACCTTGCTCTATCAGTAGCTGCTTCCTAAAGCATTGTGTTGAGAAGGATTCTGAGGGCTTACTTACCTTATTTAGGCTAAGCGGAAGCGACAGCCTTGACTTCATTGTGATGTCTGGTATGAGGCAGGGAGGGGAGTATCAGTAAATAAGCCACGTCATCTCTGATCTAGTCCAATGCCTTCACTCCACAGGAAGAAAATGAGAATAGAAGCTCATGTCTTAAGTTTACCATATTCCAGGCATTATCCAAATTGCTTTTATATGCACACATTCATCTAATCCTTAGCCAGTCTTAAAAAGTTAACATTATTATGATTCCTGTTTTGAAGATGAGGTTTATGGGAGCAAAATTTGCCTGAGGTTTACATTCTGGAAATCCATATCTTTAAGCACTTCCTTATACTGCCTCCTAATCTGTGGGCACTTACTATGTGCTAGGCTGATGGTACTCAGCCAGGAGTGGTTTTGCCCTCCAGGGGACATCGGGCAATGTCTGGAAAATTTTTGGTTGTGGGAGGAGAGGGGGTTCCTTGAATTTAGTGGGTAGAGGCCAGAGATGCTGCTAACCACACAGTACAGCGCCCCGCAACAAAGAAGTATTTGGCCCCAAATGTCAGTAGTGCTGAGACTGAGAACTCTGAGTTAAGCCATGTGAAAGTCATTTTTCAGACTGAGGATGAAACTCTTCCTGGAGCCCAGTACATACAATTACTGCCTCTCTTTTGCAGAAAAAGAAAGGTGCTCTCAGAATCAAGAAGTGGTCATCATAAGACAGGAACCCAGGTAGTCAGATTCTAGAGGCCTCCATTAAACTCCTTTATCATCTTCCTCTACTATGAAAACACGTCAACTCTTTTAACACCTACTCACCTATTACGAATTTCAGAAGCTAGGAACATTCAGCCAAGTGTGAACAATCTCCACCGTGGTGTGTGTTTCTCTAAAGATAAGAAGTATTTGTTCCAACAGTTCCAAGAGGGTCTTTAGAAGTTCTTACTATAGAACCACTGATCTCGCTGGAGTAGACATTCAGATCCTTGCTTTAAAATAAAACTCTGAAGAGAAAGCTAATTTTAGGACATAACAATCTTTTTCAAGAATAATTAGCTCTGTGTTTTATTCAACTTTAATTTTTTCCCTTTTGTTTTTAGGAGCTGGTGAGCCTGGAAGATTATTTAGGAAGAGGAAATGAAACTGAAAAGACACAGTAAGATTCCTCTTTTTCTTGGAAGCAAGACACGATATGAATAATTCTCATGCTGTCCAATTAACTGCCTCAGTACAAATAGAAAAAAAATACACACTTGGTTATTTGGAAGAAATTGAAGAAAAAGCGAAGAACGGGATGGTAGTTTCAACAATAAAGCCCTATACAAATAACTTCCTTTCGGATTTAAGGCTTGTCTCCCGCAGAAAAAGCAATGCTCATGAAACAGGGTGAGGGTGGGTGATGGAGAAAGTTAAAGAAATAAAGAGAAATAAAAGAGCTTGAAGCGGGGGGGGCGCGGGGGGGGGGGGAATTGAGCTTCTCCTTCTGAGAGGAAGTACCGAAAAACGGAAGGAGGGCTGGAAAACAACGGGCGTGGGCAGGGTGACTCCATGAGCTCAGAATGAATGGTCCGGGCGCCTGCCAGAAGCTTTCATCCACCGGGCGCTGGTCGGTTGCAGGGGGATGATTTAAGAACCTCCAAATCACTGGATTTTAAATCTTCTCCAATAAGGTTTTCCGAGTGCCAGCGCGGGCAGCATAACGGTGGGTTTGTTCGGCAGCTTGTCGGGGTCCTGCCGCCCTCGCTCGTCGCCTGCCAGGTCCAAGACAGACAATCCCAGACATTCCGCGACCCCAGAAAGCGGAGAACCGAGCGCGAAGAATGAAATGCGAATAGCGTGGCTCCGGCAAGAACCTCAGAAACCTTATTTGGGGTCGTCTAGGAGGCTGGAAATGTGTCGAGTGCCGCAGGTGGTGGGCGGCACTGGAATTTAATATTCTGGAGCCCCTACACTGTGACAGGCAGCGCGCCTAGAGAGCCACACTCAAGGTCTAGCTCGGTGAGGTAGGTTAGAAGGATCTTCAGCGAGGTTACACACCTTGCATTTGCCGCTCCCTCTGCCTGGAACGCTCTTTCCGATACGTCTGTGGTAGCTCCCCGGTTTAGGAGCTTTAGGGTGGGCTTTCTCGTCTATCATGGAGCTCCTGCATTTTAATTGTAACTGTGATGCTTTCTCTCCCCTCCCCTTCGCACATGAACTGCGTACAATAAACAACCACGCTCCCCTCTTGTCTCCTCCTGGGACCCGGCACCAATCTGCATCACTGCCTCTGGATGTCGGGGTCACAGCCTCCCGCCGGATCCCATGGGGATTCTGTCCTTCGTCATCCCGTGCCTGCAATCCTCCCTTCTCCACGTGATTTTTTCCTTTCTCTATCCCTTCGCCTCGGTCTGAGTTCCTCAAGAGGTCGAATCCTCTTTGCCTGTTCGCCCAGTGTGTCCTCTGAAACCGTGTCCTTTAACCAGCCTCTCACGCGCCGCCCTCACTTCTTCCTCCCTCCCTGGCCCGGAAACGCCGCTCCACGAACATTTACTGAGTGTCAAGGGCACGCACACAGCGCGCTGGGCCGCCGGGAACTCCTACCCCCGCCCAGAGGCAACTCTCACCTCCCTCCACCCCTCGCACCCGTCGGGAACCCGGCTTCCCACCTCCCCTGACTGCGTCATGGAATCGGTGCTTTTTCCAGGTGCATGGCCCCACCTCCTTCCCCGGAGACGACTCCTGGTTGGTGGGAGTGTGGGTCACTCTGCCGTCCCTCCCGCCCTCCCCGCGTGGCCCCGCCCCAGAGCGGGCTCTGGCTCCTCCTCCTCGCTCACGCCCCTAGCTCCCCACTCCAGCTAATCGCCTGGCGGCGCGCGCGGAGAAGTTCTGGGCAAAGTACTGGGAACTGGGTGAGCGATAGCAGCGCACGCGAGCCGGGCGGAACAAGGGGAGCCGAGAGCCAGGCGGCCAGTGCGCGGCGCAGGTTCTGGCCCGGGCGGCCGTAGGCGAGTAGCCCTCCCCACCCCTGTCTCCTGCGGCTGGTGAGGGAACTATCAGCTGTGCGTTGCTGGGGGGCCGAAGAAGCCGGGTTTGCCTCCTCCCGCGTGTGTGGACGACCCCCGGAGCTAGGCGGCGTCCGCGGCGGCAGAGCGTGCAGGTAAGAGTCGGGATGCCCGCCAGGATGGCGCTGGGGTGTGGTGGGGCCCCGGGCCGTGGCGCGGGCTCGGAAGGGCTGCGGTATGGGGGGTGCCGCCGGTCTCAGCAAGTCTGGAGTCTGCCTCCTGTCGCCGAGGAACAACCGGTCAGTGGGGGCAGCCCCAAGTCGCCCTCGGTGCCGGCCTCCCGGGAGTTAGGGCCCGAGTGCTGCCCGCCCTGGAGTGCTCTCCTGAGAGGCACGGTTTGGCCGGGATTGACGGCGAGAAGGCGCCGAGCCTGGGTCGGGGCGCCGGAGGATGCGGCTCCGAGCGTTGTCCTGGGCAGCCGGGAGGCGCGGCGCCGCGGCGGGAGGCACAGGAAACCAGCTTGATTGGGCCGAGCGCGAGACTTCACCACATCCGCGGGCTGGGGCGCGCCGGGGGCACCTGGGAGGCGCTGGCCTTGCAGGCTCCGGGCTCGCCCGCCTCCTGCTCCACCCGGCCTGCTCCACTCTCCGGCACCCAGGCTGCGGTCTGAGGGCACTTGTCCCTTCGGGCTTCCCAGCAGCCTGGGAAGCGTTTGCAGCTTCTGGAGTCACTAATGGGCATTGTTCTAAATCGTCCAGATACTTCTTAGGTTAGGGCGCGCCTCCCACTTTCGGTAATGCAACTTGCCAGCCACCTTACGCACATTTGTACTCTCCCTCCTCCGTCTCACGAATTATCAGTCTCTTCTATAGTCAGGACTCTAAGATGAGGGGAGCTGTGAAGTTGTCGCTTTCGATGTGTCTGGGGATTGTGCTGAGGTGCATCTGACCAACGCCCCCCCCCCCCCAACAATGTTGCCCTGACCCTCAGAGTTTGAGTACTGGGATGAGGGCATCTAGAAATGTTTTAAGCTGCAGCTGCAAAACAGATCCATCCATAGACAGGTAAAGGTGTAGGTCTAACTTTTGATCACCCACACTCTACCTCCAAGCATCATTCAAGGTGAGGCCCCCCTTCTGGCCCAAGGAGACCAACTAGGCAGGCCTGGGCTGAAACGCACCCAAGCTAAATGACCATCCCCTCCACCAACATACTAGCACACCACCCTGTTTGGTATATAGTCTTATTTGCTAGGTATTTCTAACTAGATGGGAAATTGAGGCTCCAGCAGGTTAACCAGTTTTCCCAAGATTATCCTGGCAGAACTAGAATTCCAGCTCATTTTCTCTCTGTTGTGCTGGGCTGCTTCCAAGAAACTAAAATGTGGTTTCCACCATTACAGCCAGTAGACATTTAGCTTTATTTATAACACAAGCTATTGCTTAACCAAAAGATTTTATCATTACTGAGATTTAGTTTCAATAATAGCTAATAATTATGCTGTAAACCAGATACTACCAGGCTGCCATAAGCTGTATTCTTTCATCTTCGCAATCTTGATGGCAGTGCTGTGAGGTTATCTCCATTTTATAGATGAAGAAACTGCAGCCTAGGTTTGGGAATCTGCCCAGGGTCAGTAGTAGATTGCTGAGTTAGATTTTTACTAATAGTCTTTCTGAGTGTAAATCTTTAGCTCCTTCCACTAGACTGAAATTTCTCCTCCCACTATTTAATTAGATGTTAACTCATTATGATAGAGTTCAATGTTACAGCATATTAAAACCACCTGAGGCTGAGCTATAAACTTTCCACTGCCAATAAGAGTCTAGTTGTACTATTTTCTGAATTGTTGAGACTCTTACTGCCATTGATGTTTGTGGATGAGTTTATGGTTTGTGGGCCTGGTAGATGAGGCACATTTAATGTAGGAGGAAAGGAAATTCTCCTTTCACCTGGATTTAAATTTACTTTCACCTAAATCTAAAGAGAAATCTGATGGGTTTTACCCACTGTGGTAAATGAACTCTGAACACAGTAATGCTTTCTGTCTCTTAAGGAAAGTACTGGAAGACCAGCTAGTACCTCTGTTCCCATATGTAGAATGGAGAGTTAGAAACCACTACTAGTTCCAGAAGCTTCTGCAGCAACCTTTTGGCAAAATAACTACATTTCGACTCTTTGTTCTCTTGTAGTAAAACTGAGAGCAAGAAGTTAGCTAAGTATGTCATGGTTACCACCTGAAGAGCTAATGGCAAAATAGAGGATGGGAAGAAATTAGAGATCCCTTTTTTCTTCTACTTCATTCCAGTTTTAGGGGTAGTATAATGTTTTTCCTTGCATGATGACCTGGATAATCCACGGTTTCATTTATACTGTGCCTCTTGGCAGTACTATATTTTCTTAATTGTTAATTCCATTTCAAGAGTTCTCCAGGACTTCCTTGGTGATGCAGTGGTTAAGAATCCGCCTGCCAATGCAAGGGACATGGGTTCGAGCCCTGGTTTGGGAAGATCCCACATGCCGTGGAGCAACTAAGCCTGTGTGCCACGACTACTGAGCCTGCGCTCTAGATCCTGTGAGCCACAACTACTGAGCCCACATGCCACAGCTACTGAGCCTACATGCCACAGCTACTGAAGCCCGTGTGCCTAGAGCCCATGCTCCGCAACAAGAGAAGCCACTGCAATGAAGAGTAGCCCCCGCTCACCACAACTAGAGAAAGCCCCGTGCAGCAACGAAGACCCAGTGCAGCCAAAAATAAATATAAATAAATAAATAAATTTATAAAAAGAAAAAGAGTACTCCAGGGAGGGTTGGAGAATCCTTCAACCCAGACGCCCACAGAAATGATGGAACTCTAGGGCACTGAGGAACATGGAGGCTGTTAAGTTGAAGGAGGCTTCAAAACTGAGAAGTTGCCTGTGAAGTTTATAGTTGCCTGTGAATTCCTTTCCTGTCTACATCTTTTTTTAAAATTAATTAATTAATTAATTTATTTATTTTTGGCTCTGGTCTTCGTTGCTGCGCGTGGGCTTTCTCTGGTTGCGGCGAGCAGGGGCTACTCTTCATTTCGGTGTGTGGGCTTCTCACTGTCGTGGCTTCTCTTGTTGTGGAGCACGGGCTCTAGGCACGCGGGCTCAGTAGTTGTGGCTCATGGGCTCTAGAGCTCAGGCTCAGTAGTTGTGGCACATGGGCTTAGTTGCTCTGTGGCATGTGGGGTCTTCTCAGACCAGGGCTCGAACCTGTGTCCCCTGCATTGGCAGGTGGATTCTTAACCACTGCACCACCAGGGAAGTCCCTCCTGTCTATATCTTATTCGTCAGCTTTTATCCGCCTTCTCTGGAAATGTCCTTCTTAACTTCCCAGTCACTACTGTTTAGACCATGTTTATACTTACCCCAGCTCGTATCTCTCCTCCCTCTTGTCTTTCACATCCATGCCTTCCAGTTGCCCCTGCAGCATCTTAGCTCAGAGTCTTAGGGACTTCTCTACTCTGTCCTAACATAGCTTACATTGTCTCCCTCAGCCCTGCCTTCATATCACAGTCAGGTAAATTCTCTAGATCCTGTCATTATATTGCTAAAACTTCTTGAGTGGCTTATATAGTTAATAATAATTATAATATTAATAACAGCAGCAGTAGCTGTTGACCTTCTTGTGCCAGGTACGGTCATGAGTACCTTACGTGGATTTAAAATTGTGTTTAATCCTTAGAGCAACAGCAAAGCAGGCACTGTTATTATACCCCCAATCTCTGGATGAGACGAGGAGAAGTTAAGTTTGCAACTACTTTACAACTAATACAAGGTGGAGTTGAGACTCAAACCCCTGGTCCTTTCTCTCCCCATTTAAGGTAGACTCCTTAGCCTAAAGTCGGGATCCGGCAGCCTGGGCTCAGTGTCTGCCTTCACCCATTGTTCCCCAGCCTGAACTGTATTCAGCAACAGGGCATTTTGCCTTTGCTCTTACACTGCTGTTGCCTAGAAAGCTCTTTCATTGCCTCTACCTGGGAAACCCCAGGTCTTTCAAGGCTGAACTCATAAACCAGTTCTGCCAGAATCATCTCTCTGAACTCAGCCTCTCATAGCATTAAAACACACACACTCTTCAGCACTTTCTTTCATACCCACCGCACACATTCCTCCACCCCAGTGCCTCCTGGCCTAGTTATTTATTCAAATGTATTAGCTCCCTTACTACATTGTAGATGCCTTGAAGGCAGGACTAGTATCTATTCCTTCTATTTGTATCCCCACATCGCTAAGCCTCGTGTGCTATCCATAGTAGGTTCACAATTAAAAAGAGAGTAGAAACAACTGTATGTGGTTATATGCTGTTGGAATATTTTGTGAAAAAAGTAATTGGAATGTGGCATTTTGTTTCCTACTTTTTGATCCACAACACTGTAATACCTTCATCAATTTATGATGAAGCAATAGAAATCCTAATTATTTAAATCCACGAAAAGCACTTATTCTGGTTGTTTTCACCTTGCAGATATTGTAAGGAGATCTCAAACCCATAAAAATAAACAAGCATTGTCTGTAGGGTAAATATCTTGCATCTTATATACACTATTTTTTCATATATATGGTAAAGTTGTTATTAAAAGTATATTAAAACTGTTATGGAATCGAAACTAAATTTTCATCAATGTTTTATTGATCAATGAATATTTCTCATTTTTAAACCTGACTTACTAGATCTTCTATGAATCACCTCTGGCTCATAGCTCATCACTTCGCTCTGTGTGTTCTAGTCACACTGAACTAAATTCAGCTCCCCACCTATATCGCCAGGGCCATGAATAATGTATTCTGGCCTCCCGGTTTCCGCATGAAGTTATGTCCTCTTTACAACGTCTTCCTTCTCACCCATGTTCACCTGGCTGGTTCCCACTCATCCATCACATTTCAGCCTGAATGTCACTTATAGGAAGACTTCCTCTGCTGCCTCCAAGTTGAAGTTGGAAAACATGCATGGCACTCTGTGCCTATCTATTTTGGAGGGAGCAGTTATCGTACCGTTGTGTAACTGCTGGTCACTTGACTGAATCTTCCATGGAACAACTGACTCTCATTTGGCTTACATTAGAATCACTTAGGAGTCTAAAAAGCTTTTCCCTACCTAGGCCCAACTCGCAAAGTTTCTGAAT